ATTGATTGTACAAATCAATGTCCACCATATTGGACTGAACCTATTTTGCAACAAAAACAAACATTAGTTTATCCAACATCAGCATTCGTTTCATTGAAATGTCCATATAATGCTAAATCAAAAGTAAAAATAACATGGTTTAAAGATGAACAAATATTTTCACCAAGAATTGTATGAATTGGTAAAAAAAAAAATGAATTCGTTAAATAAATTCTATTTCTTTTTTTTTATCTTTAGTTTTTAGTTGATAATATATATTTAAATATTTCTAAAATAACAATGTATGAAGCAGGAATGTATACATGTATTATTGAAAATAGTTTAAGAAAAATTAGTCGATCATTTCCATTAATTTTACAAGGACGTAGTCTTGATCGACCAGCATTTATATCTAAATCAACAAATGTAACACGATATGAAGGTGATAATGTAACATTTGAATGTTTATTTTATTCGGATTCAAGTCCATTTGTTCAATGGTTTGCTCAACAAAAATCAATAAAAAATATTCATAAAAATGAACAACAAAATGAATTAGAATTTTTTAAGGTAATTGACATTTTGATTTTGATTTTTATTAAAACAAAATATAAATAATAATATTGAACAAAAGAAAAAGCAAACATCTGTCTATGTATAGTTTTCTAATAGATCAAGATTTAGTCTAGGAAAACGACAGGTAACAATAAATATAAAAATCAACAATTCTATTTTCGTTTTTTGCTATGTGCTTTTGAAATTTTTTTTTTTTTGTTTTTTTATTATTTGATAATTTCTATTGCATGCTATCATTAAAATGAAATATAAAAACGAGAATTGTATTTTGAAAAGCTATCGTAACCGTATCATTTGGTTTTTATTTGAGGCTATTATTTTTTTATGGTTTTTTGATTTCTGTTTGCTAAAACTATTGAATTTTTATTTATTTCGTTAATATATGTGTAGTAAGCATAAGTATATATAATTTGATCATGATGATTATATATATATATGTATGAATTTGCTTGATGATTTGTTTTATTTTATTTGTGTTTTTTTTTAGATGAAAGCATAGATTTTATTTGAATTTGTATAAAACTTTATTTTGTATTTATTTTAGGAATATAATCCACATACAATGTCTGAAGATGAAGTTGAATTATTGACTATTAAACGTTTACAACAAAATGATACAGGTGTTTATCTCTGTCGTGTTTTAAATGAATATGATTTTAATGATTTAATTCATCAACTTACTGTTTTACCTGGTAAATAAATTCATTTATTGTTCCATATATAGATTTTTTTTTCATTTTGTTAATAAAATATTTTTTCCTTTTAAAGATTCTGAAAGACCTTTATTATTACAAAATATTTCATCAAATAGACAACATTATATATCAAGTCGATTATCTGATGAATTAATAATATTAATTGGTTGTATTATTGGAATATTACTTTTTGCATTTATTTTTTTTCTTATTTATCATTTTCGTAATGAAAAAAGTTTACAACAAACTTTATTAGCGACACGTATATTAGCTACAAGAGGTATTAGTAATTTAAAAAATGTAAGTTTAAATTATTTATTTGATTATTATGTTTAAATTAATCTAATATTTTTTATGATGAAAAGAATCAATTATATCGAAGTGATATTGATCCGAAAACAAAAAAAACTTTTAATTGAAGATAATTGTCATCGTTTTCAAACTGAAGGAACAATATCAACAATTATTTCATCATATTATGATAATCAATGTGAATTTTCTCGAGAAAAGTAAAAAAAAAGAAAAGAAAAACTTTTATCTAGGAAATAGATTTAATGTTTTTTTTTGTTTTTCACAGTCTTGCAGTTGGTTATTTAATTGGAAAAGGAGCATTTGTTTTTGTATATTAAGGTGTAGCAAAGGGTATTAATTCCAAAGAAAAAGTAACAACAGTAGCAATTAAAACTGTTCGAGGTTAGTTTTTATATCGAAAACAGTGTATTACTATACTGAATTTTACACTATTTCGTCTTAATCCGTTATCCCGTTTTACAAGCCGGTTTTTTTCTCGCTAGAAAACTGTTATCATATTCCTCATTATTATCTACTATTTTCTGGGATGACAGATTACGGGGATGTTTTGAGTGTGGTTGAAGAGAAGACCCACGCGCATTACTTGTGGAATTAAAATGTAAAACACGATGTAATTGCTATTGCTAATTATAGAGACATCGTTTTATTCTATTATGGGACACATTTCCTCACTATCCTTTTGATTAATCCTTCAGAAATACAATAAAAAAGTAGTTCATATACAGTCTTTGATCGTATAGCAACAATACCTGTGACGCGGGAAAGAGATAGGGGACGTTGTTAAGAGACCTTCTCCTTTTCGGATGTGAAAATCAGTAATTTTTAGATTTTTGGTATAGCTTCAAAGTGGCCTCTGTCAAATGCCATATAAATGAGTGCTCTTCATTGTTAGTTAATACTTCTATTAAATCAAACTTTCGAAATCCCTAGCAGAAAAACTCCGCTATGATTATTCCTGGTGTACCAAATTCTTCTAATGATAATTTCTAAAGGGTGTTGAGAACATCATCAGTTTTCGATCACTTTAGTTGATGAAAAAAGTTCTGATATATACAAGAAAATTTATTTTCTGTTTTTCTCAACATCAATTTTTACACAAAAAAATAGTGCAGAATCACCTTCGGTTCTCCGATATGGTACTTTTGATCGAGCTGAAACTTTTTTTACAGGTATGGGACATTGTTTGAAATGCCTAGTTTTTTTTATTTTGAAAAGTATGGTACCGTTTGATCTTTTTATTCGAATAGAAAGAGATAAAAAGATATTAAAAAAAGAAAAGAAGAAAGCAGGGCGACTTTTAGCCTTTGCAATCTAGATATTTCCTAGGAGGAAGTATTTAGAGATTTGGTGGTTATGACAACTTTTGCTCTACTCATCGAGACCTATGTATTCTGAAAATTTCAAATATTTTTGATGAGCCATTCTTCAGAGACTTCAGAAAGAGGGGACAGAAATTTCTACACCTATACGTCAACACTTCCTTTAGGTCGTATTTCACAAAAATTTATATTTTAGATGATGCAACACTAGAAGAAGTTGAAAATTTACTTTAAGAATTATCAGTAATGAGAATGGTTGGTAAACATGTTAATATTATATCATTTCTTGGTTGTTGTACAAAAGGAGGTAAATGGTTTTTTTCAATAATTTTCTATAGGTTAATTATAAATCTTGATTAGGTCAAGTTATGTTAATTGTTGAATATGCTAAATATGGTAATTTACGTGATTATTTACGTCGTAAACGTCCACCTGGTCATGCTCTACCAGGTTTATATGAAAGTCCTTCGGATACGGATAATTATGAACAAGAAACTATAATTATTGATGATGATTATATACGTTCATTAACAACAATTGATTTAATTTTATTCTGTTTACAAGTTGCATCTGGAATGGAATATTTACATTCAAAAAAAGTAAATATTAAAAAAGAGAAACAATAGATTAACTAAATTTTCCTTTTTTTGTTTTTCATCTCGTAAATAAAAATGATTCGACTTTTGATTTTGTTCGTATAATCGAAAGATGGGGTGTGAATGTGAATATTGTCTTGAACCATACTCATACTCACACCCACACCCTAGTTACTTTTATTTTATTGAGTATTCTTTCTCATATGTCATCAATAGCGTCATCACATTACATATCCTTCTGCACTATCAATCATACAAATAAACATGATTTCTTATTATAATGAAAATAATCGAAATGAAAATCTAATCGAAAAAGTTTTACTTTATATTTTTGAAAACGTTGTCTGACTTTGTCTCAAACATATTGATCTTAATAAAATCTTGGGCATCTCATGCAAATATGCTCGTGGAATATTCTGATTCATTTGTTTCATATATAAATTGTACGATTTACAAACGATGGCATGTTTCACGATCATCCTTCTCTACTCATAGAATGAAACAAATGAGGAATGTTATACATTCAACTGATTTTTGAAAACCTTCACAATTCATTACAAAAACTGTCATCAAAAATTATGTTTTACCTTGGCAGAAGTTCATTCTTCATGAATAAATAAAACTTCTTGAGTATTAAATAATTTTGTGGTCAAAAGACATGTACAATAATTGTGTTCGAAATTGTGAAAATGTTATTTCATACCATGCAATTATATTTTCGTATATACTCGAAAGTTATGTCATGCAAAAGTACCACAACTAAATGAAAGCAAAGTTTCAATAAAATGTAATCATAGAGTTCTTTCTGTTTGAAAATTTGATTAACTAAATGAAATTTACAATAAAATTTCCACGAGACAGTCAATTGACAACACATGTGCAAATATGGTGAGATATGTACATGGACAGTGAGAATATTACTCTTCTTTTCTATATCTGACATATGTTGAACTGTTTTACTGAAATCTTGGTAAATCATATGAAAAGATAATGGGTGTGGATTTTAGTGTTTTTTCTTTCTTCATAAACCGGCACCCACACCCCAAACTTCTGTAATCTGATCGATATCGGAAACGGTGATGCGATTCAGAAAACTCAGCACACGTATATCTCGAGATCAGGAATTTTCTTAGAGCTAATTTTTGTTTTTTAAATAGACAGGGAAATATGTTCCTGGACTGAAAAAACAATTGATTTCACTCATCACTAATTTTAAGTGGCTTTAAATAATCTGAAAAAATCAGTACCTCAAAGAAATTTGTATTAAAAATCTAATGATAAAAAGATCATCGAATTTCATACAGTTTAGTTTAAACAAATCTCTTCATTGAAGTATTGTATAGGCAACTCATAAAACTATGAAATCTTTATTCGAACTCTTTGTCTGAATATATTTAGAGTGTTCAAAAAAATTGAGGGACATGGTGGAGTACGAATCCTTCTTTAAAATTTCTAGACAACTGTTTTGTCTTTTTTTAGTCCGATCGTGAGCTAAAAATTCCATCTAAATTTGCAGTTTGTGCTGTAGAGTCTTCATTAAAGTTTCTGAAATCGTTTTTCTGGTGTGACATAGATAATATGTTTAATAAACATCTATATGAATAAATTTTCCTTATTGATTACAGAAAAATCTGTAATTCTTTCATACAGTAATATCTTCAAATATATTTTGAAAAGTGCTATTAATAAAAAAATAATCATATTTTATATGAAAGTAAAATGGTTAAAAGATAATACACCTTCAACAATGAATGATCATATTTAATCATCGCTTAATTCAAAAAATCCTCATATACATATATTAACATTAGAAATAAATAACAGTCACCATAAGTGAACCATTAAAAGATATATATCATCGACTGAAAATGAAAATCTAATACTTAAATGTAGACTGTCACATGAGTTAAAACAAATTTCAGTTATATGGAAATTAAATAACGATTTTAATTCAAGCTAATAATGATCGTATACAAATTGAACGAGATGGTAAATCATATTTTATAACAATTAAAAAAGTTCCAATTAAATGATCAAGGTTCATATACAGCTGAAATTTCAATACATAAAATTCAAACATCTTCACAATTTAAAGTTAAACCAGAAGAAATTGAAATTCTTAGAGATTTACACATTGTTTCTAATATGAACAATCAGAAAATCTTATTCTTGAAATTCAATTAAATAAATTTTTACTAACCGACCTAAGGGTGTGGATAGGAATAGATTACACCACACAATCACACAGAGCATAAATCAGTCATGATAAGAATTATATTGAAATATGAAAATATATGCAAAAAAATTAATTAGTTTCTTTGTAATAATCAATAATAAATGTAATAGGCGTCGATATTCGAAATGGATTGGTCGAAAATTTGCAATAATATTTTTTATTTAAAAAACGTATGTCTTAGCCAATGAAGCCGCAATCACAACAGGGTGGCTGATCTGGTTTGAAAACAGGATGACAGCAAGGGAGGCAACAATCATAATTGGTATTACAGCGTAAACAGTTCCTGTTAGATCCTGCAACGTTGCTTTCCTGGGTGCATTGACCATTCAAACATTTGCAATCGCAGGGTATAGTTCCTCCATCAACAATAGCAAGATTATTTGTGATAACAAGTAATATCATAAATATTAACCAATAATGAAAACGATCCATTTCAGTAATATTCAATAATATTCTTCTTGAATTAAAAATACTATTCAGAAAAATAAACGCATGACTTTCGCAAAAAAAGATGTGACGCCAATTTATATTATGTATTCATCAAGGTGTTATACGCAGTTATATATATACGTCATTTTTTCTTTTTTTCATTCTTTTTTCTCTTATTTATCATGTGACATCCATCTATACTGGGTGTGCCAAAATGTTTGCAACATTTTTTTTGATTTCGTACTTGTCTTGACTTAGATAAATGATAGAACGTTGAATTTTTTTAAAAGATACGTCATAAAAATCTCTATAAAAAATTATTTGAACAAATCCCTATTGATTTGTTCTGATGATCCACTTCATACTCTAAGTTTCAAAAACAATTTTGTTTTGCAATTGTGGTTTGTTTGCACAATGTTTTGTTGTAGCTTTTCAAGGCACATCTTAAAAAATTTCAGGATCTTATTATTTGATTAGGCAAAGATATACACAAAACAAAAACTACTGCGAATGTTTTCACTTAGATAAAGTTAGCAGCGAATTCGTATTTTTTGGCGAAATATTCGCCCACAGGCATATTTCTGAAAAGATATTGGTTGTACCAGATAGAGCACCGAATATACTGTAGAATGCATATCTTTCGAAAAAATTCTACCGCGAAAAACGGCTTAAAAATGCAAGGGTGTGGGTGCAGATACAATGAAGGACAATGATCACACCCACACCGGCATCCACACACAATGTAATGCTATATTCAAAGAAACGTTCTATAGGCATTTTGTAACCAACAGTTTGAGGTATCCAACGGAAAAAAAAATGCTTCGAACCGGCTTCTTATTTTGAATAGAAATCGGTTTGATTAATATAACACGATGACGACGACTTTTGTAATCATTTTTATTCTACCGCTTAGAGTATGCAAATGTTAAATGTTGCGTTTATTAATTCCTCTAATATAAAAACAAATCGTAAAAAAAATAAACTAGTTTGACTAATATGTATAGCAATGTCTGTGTAAGGTCGAAAAAACTCAAAAAACTGTGTAAGAAACTGTACTATTAAAACGTTTACCTCTTTTATATACATTTAAAAAATCAAAATACTGAGATCATTCAGTTACTGAGACCATTCCGTATAGAATGATCTCAGTATTTTAAGCTCTATCCAACCATATATAAATCATTGAGAAAAAAATGTTAACTGAAACTTTGAGTTTTTTCAACCTTACGCATATATCATAGAAACGATAGAGGATTTAGATTGGTAATTTAATTTCAATCGAATGCAATTAACTTGTTAGACCAATCACCTATATTCTTACGGCAATTTGTTAGTAATCAACAAAAAGATACATTATTCACAGTTTACAGTGATTTTTGAATAATAAGTTGCCGTCTGAAAACGTTTTTTGGCATATGTGAAAAAAACGTAGAAAACAGTAAAAA